TATCTACTGGGGGTCTTTGCTTGAGAAAAACCATAGAAGTTAATTTTCTATTTCTTTTCTATTAGAAATTAAAATTATCTTCTTCCTCCGAGCAAAAAAAGCCCGAACAGCTGCCACCATCCAAATCAGGCTGGAGAAATTCACTGACTTTTCAGACACGTTCAGAAACATTTTCAAGCAGCTTAAATAAATAATGGAATTGTGTATGCCTGTGTACATGCGTATCTCTCCCTCAACGCTGCATGCAGTGCATGGCTACTAGCTTGTATACATAAATTATATTAGAAGATTTTAAGTAAACTTTTCAAATTGAGGCCGTGGTTACTTCTCCACAAGGTATTTCCAGTGTCCCTGATAAATCCAAGCATGATTCTAATCAATGAGAGAAAGAGCAGACAGCAGCCTGCAAGCTTGGTCAAGACGGAAGAGCCTGTTCCTGCTCCATCCCTGTGGATGGAGGTGCCATCTCTGCTCTTGAGCCTCAGTTCATCATCACCACCAGATACAGCTGTTTCGAGTCCAACAATGACCTGGCCACATCAACAAAACATTATTCACTGGCACACAAAATGCACTGAACTCCACAAGCCGTTGGACCCCCAACTTCCTGATGCTGTAAAATACCACAATTTATAGCCACACATTTTGTGGGCACAACAACAACCTCTGGGCCTCCCCTCTCCCCTGCTTCTCCTCCCTTTCCAAGCTGCTTTTTCTAATCGAACCCCAACTAAAACAATCTTCCACAAATTATAGCAAGCCTTCCTTAAAATTCCCCATAAACCTTACCGCAACCCTGCAGCAGACTTCTGGCTTTCCACAGAGCCTCTGTACATAAACATGAGAGAAAATACCTTAGCACGGCACTAATGAAGTATTTCCCAGACACAGCAGAGGTGACAAACAGAATAAGACCAAAGCCAAGATGCCATCTCGACTTCAGGCAAACAACCTCCTCTGACCTCTGGCAGCTCCCACACACTATTAAACAAAAAGTATTCTCTCCATGTTAATGAACCATGTACAATCTAACAGATAATGCCATGTTAAACAAACATGTTTATATGTGACTCCTAATGCTAGCACTTAAGAAGCTTCAGACAAATAATTTTAAATGGGAAGGATTATGCCCATGTAATCTTTCCCCTCTCATTCTACACATCTTTGAAATAACTCAAATACATAATTGAAGTCCAAGTAGAAAGAATGTGTGAAAAGACGTTTGACCATTTTTAATTAAATATTCTCTCTGTGACACACTCATTGGAACCATCTATGCAGTGACCACTATTTTGGATCCAACTTTCCTCTCACACCTCTTGCAGCTGTAAATCAAGAGCAACTGAAGAGCCTGTGAAGAAGGAAACTGGATCAGGTTTTGTATGCTGTGAGCAAAAAAATATTTTGCACAACGACTGCTGAGTCCTAAACCCTTATTCCTGTGTTCTCCCTCCAGCTTCAACACTCTGGCAGCAACAAATCTACCTGCAAATGGCAACACCTCCAGGCCCCAAATGACCAAACTAAGATGAGCAATTATTTGCATCCTAATTGAGGGGCTTATCTTCACCTGATTAAAACAAGGTATTTGTTAAACATCATTACTTGAGTTAAGATCTGCAAGTAAAGATGAAGTATTGTTTTAAGAATTAGACTCCATGAACAATTGTTTTCTGATGAGAGCTCTTAACAAACAACCCCAACAAGGATGGTCTATCTGGCTTTTCAGTAGAAAAGGGAGGGAAAGAGATATGCCCAGTTCTCCCTGTTTATATCATACTGAATATTATGCCAAGAGGTTTGACTAGGGTTTTTTTGTTACTTTTGCTTTTTAGAGATACACACTCAAAAAAATCTTGTACTTTCACTAAATGAAGCCATGAAAAGGAGGATTCATGTGAAACCTGAATGGCTTTACTTTTGTATATGCCATTGTTTACAGCTCTAAACGTTTTTTTGGTTTTTTTTTTTTTGGTATAACTATTTTTCTGTCCCCTGGGTAAAATGTGGAATTTGATGAAAAGAACCTCACTGTTACTCCAGGAGATGACACCAAAACAAGTGGCTATTGCTGTAAATGATACGCATGCATACAGTAACTATACATTGGAAACTGCAGTACAAGATTTCCCTACTTGATCTACTAAATTACCTTACGAGATATGTTTAAAATCTTCGGATTAAAACTGCAGTGTTCCATGGGGTCTGAAAACAATTTGGATTTGCAACTTCATTTAACAGTTTGTCCCCAGTAAGAGTTACCCCAGCCAGGCAAAATTAATTAAAATGTATTTTCTTTTCATTCTAAGAAACTTCTGCTAGTTTTCCCAAAATTTTAAGAACATTTTTCACTGCACAGGTAATCTTAACCACTTCCACAGATTAAGTCTAACAACCTGTGAATTTATTGGAGAAGGAATTTACTGCAAGGAATAATTAGTCTTCAGCACTGTTCTTGCTTGTTCTCCAGCTGAAGACACCTTAAAACCATCTGGTCATTGCAAAAATTGGCACAGAAGAAACAAATCTTACTGAAGAGAATTATAGCTGATTTCAAAATAGCTGTTTTACTACTACACATCATAAATAACAGTTGAGAAGACAGCAGAAAATTACCGACTTCTTTAATTGCTTTCTTTGTCAGCAGTGTGTACATATACACACTGCCATCCAAATACAGCACGGCTGACTTCAGTACGATGCCTTACAGGCTTGAAGTTAAACATGCAACTAATTATTGCAGGATTAATAGTTAAATTACTCAGTTTTCAGGAAAATCTAGCATACCAGCTAGCTAAGCACAACACCACAGCAACACACAAGATTCTTTAAGTGACATTCTGAGATAAAGTTCTTCATATCTATACCTGAGTTTAATTCCTTTGTATAATGAAGGCGTACCCACACACATCGCATATCTGAATATGAGGCTTATGGAGAGGGAATAATCAATAACATTTTTATTTCTCCCTAATGAACCTTTTCTAATGAAATTTAAGACTGCCAAGGCTGCGAGATATTTGGAACAGGAGCCCATTTCCAACATTTCAACCAAATAATGGTGATAAGATTAGCGAGTCATAGGAATCAAGTCTCTATGTAGTATCTTAGAAGAAAACGAGCTGAGGAGAGCAGGCTGGACAAAGCAAAGCAAAACAAAACAAATCGATGAGTCTAAACCCAAAAGAGTACACCGCTTGCTATTTAGCCAAATGCTTTGACCTGTTGGTTGGAGGAGGAGAAAACGCATGAGAATTGCGTGGACAATTTGACTCAATAACTCACAATTTAATTTTGCATCATGCATTATTATTTTTTTAATTAAGATATCTAAGTTAGAATAATTAAATCAAGTTATCAGCTGCTGTGGCATTTCAAGTTAATTTTCAAAACATGCTTATAAAGTTTCTGGAATGTTTCCAAAGCTGCAAGCACTGATTATTTTCAAGGCAGTCTTCCCTGCCTGCATGTATAACTTTTGAGGCCACATGATGCCTTGAATTTCAAAGCAGAAGTAAAAATTCATTTTTTTTTAAAGAATAGAAATGGTTTATTCATGTCAAAAAGGATGAGGAGAAAGAATTTATGCTGCATGTAGCAACAAGTAACACAAAACAAGGAACACTAAATATATGAAACGATCTAAGAAACATTCATTTATACATAGCACATCTAGTTTAAATATATGCCATCTTTTGAGGACCAGACCACCCTAATAAAGACAGATGTAGACATGCAGAAGGAATTTAGACATGGTTTCTCGATATACTGGGGGGGGGGGGAAGGAACCCTTCTATAAGTGGCATTGCAGAGGTAAAAATCCTCAGTAAATCAATAAATTAATAAAGTTCATGAGAAAGATTAAACAATAACCCCCTCCTGCCATCGCCTTTACCGGCGCTGCGGGATGTGTGAATCTGATACCACGCTAAACAAAATCTCTGTTAATATTTGATGTAAACCAATAAATTGTTTATGGGTTAACCATATGTATTTTAACAATTACCATTTTATACAACAGAATATATCATTACTCGAAACGCCTGAAAACCAGACACGAACAATTTCCTTCAGAGGCCATCCACTGGTCTCAGGCATAATTTAGCACTCAAAAAAGTTTACTTAAACGGCATAAATCACAGTGCAGAGTTTTCGTCGTATAAGCAACAGCAAAAAAAAAAAGCATTAACTCATTTTATTTAAATGCACGCTTCGGCTTTTTAAATCATTACTAAACGAAGTTGGGCTTAAAGTAAAACCTAACGCTGCGCCGCGCTTCAATTCGCTACCTCTTGCTTATTGTGGGTCGCAAGTCCGCACGCAGAACTCAAACACGCCACCGCCCTCCGTGCTCCGCGCTCGCGGAAAGCGGCTCCCCCACCGCCGCCGTGCCCGCACGGGTTGCGGGGAGAGCGATTTGCTTCGCTCCGCGCACCGCACGGCGCGACACCCGCGGAAAGCGGTTTCACACTTCGGGTTTGAGGCGGGCACGCAACTCCCCACTCAGAACCCGCTGCCTCCGGCTCCCTCCACAGGCGCGGAAGAACCTACTTCGCCACCGCACGCCCCTGCCCGTACTCACCGGCGGTGCAGCGCGGAGCCGCAGCGCTGCGGAGTGTGCGCGCCCGCTGCGGGCGCAGTGAGCATGTGCGAGGCGGGCGCGCATGCCCGCGGAAAGGAGCGGAGCGGGGCGGTGGCTCCGCACCCCGCGCTGTGCCCCAGGCGCGCCCACCCCCCTGTCCCCGCTGCGCCTCCCGCCGAAGCCCGCGGGGTGCGGAGCGCTGCGGTGCGCCCCGGCTGGTCCCGCCGGCACACGCAGCGCGAGGGACGGCGCGGGGATTTTTAATCGGTTCATCTGACCTGTTGCTTCCCCGGTAGCGAGCCCGGAACACGCGGCCCCTCCGCCCCCCGCTGCAGCCTGTCACCGGGACCGGCGGCCCCTCGCGGGCCTCCCCCCGCTCTGCCCGCCGTCGGGGCCGGCCGGTCCGCGCCGCACCTACCGCACGCGTGGGGCCGCGGCGTGTCCCGGCGCCCGCACGGCCGCGCTCCCGCTGTGCGGGACTGGGGCGAGGAGAGGAGGAGCCTCCCGCGGGTCCCGCACGGCCCCTCCGCGGTTTCCCAGACCCTGCCGGACGCAGGGAGAGCGGTGGCGGCCGCTGCCCCGCGTTCTCCAGCAGCCGGCGGTCGGTGTTGTCGCTGGTAGCAGGTACTCCCAGCTCGCTTTTCTGCCTTCGCGGTTACAGTTTTGCCTTTGTCGGTGCCATCAATGTGCATTTAGCTGCAAGTTTTTAAAAGTCATTGATGGTATAAAACTTGGACACTTGTATACCGCGGGAAAACACCTTATCTGCAGGCTCTGCTCCCGTGCAAACAGCCATTTCGCTACAGTCCTTGAGTTACTGATCTCTAGTGACAATTTAAAATAGCAATCTAAAAGGAAGAGCTCGTGTGGACATCTATTTTTCTTACACACACTGTGCCACGGAGCCATACACCCTGCAGACCTGCAGAAATAGCTTCACTCACACAAGCCATCCCCCTGCCCTCATGCACATGGAGCATCACAGAGTTCCTGGCTCCCAGAGGGTGAAAACCCCCAGGGGTGATCTTGCTTCTGGCTCTGATCTCCTCAAGGGGACCAGAATGGATCTGTGGCCATACAGACACACTGCCCCTTATCCCATGCCAGCACAAAATCAGAGGCAGCCTCACGTGTGCATGTTGAGGGGGACTTCTGCTCTTGTCTGGTGTGATGGGCTCCTCTAGTAGGCACATCATCAGCTTCTCTACCCACCCAAGAGAGGGGCAACAGGCACCTTTGGAGGCTTATGCTTGTGAAATGTGCTGGGGCCTCCCACCACATGCACCCTCCACACGTCTCTTGTGCTCTACACCATGTGCACAGCTTCACGTGCTCGCCTTGTCCCTACACATGGCATCGGCACCATACAGCAGCCCCTTCCCACTGTCGTACCTGCTCGCTGGGGACGCAGCCTGGGCACAGTGGCACTGAAGCGTTTCATTTCCTCACCTGCTCTTCCTCTTTATTCCCTGCTTCTCACCAGTCTGAGGCGGTCTGCAGCTCTCCAGTTCTGTCTCTCCAGCACTGGGGAGGCATCAGAGGAGACCTGCAAGTCCTCACCCTGACGGCTTTTATTATACCTAGCCCTTTCCTCAGGAAGGAGATATCTCATGAACCACAGTGGAAAAGCCAAAGGAGCACAAAGGGTGTTGAGTTCAGGGTTTGAACAAGCTGCAGCCCACTCATGGGTTTAACTCAAAATTTTGACAATGGAACAAAAACATCATTGCAACGAGACAGCTGTTTTTACTATCAAAATCTCTCAGATCAGTTTGACTGCAAAGTGTGTTCTACAATCCAAAGGAGACAAAGCTCCCAGCATCAGCTCGGAGCTGGCAGTCTTCCTAGCATGAGCTACCTCCCGCCGGCCTAGAAAAACCAAAGCTCTTTTAGTTGTTATTCCCCATCAGTTCTCAGCACTAACCCCCCGATTTCCCCACAGATTATCTGCAGTTCTGCATTTATACCGCTCTCACACTGAACTCTGAGAGACTGCTGGTTTGGGGGACTTCCTTGCTGCTATTCATGCCTGTAACCATGGTTCTGGTGAGGAGTCTCTGAAGTACAAGAAAGCCTTTAGCTCAGTTTTGAAAAACATCAAATAAAAATACTTTTCCTTCCCCCCCCCTGCCCTGCCCAAAACCCCAATTGCCACATTAGCTCCTTTTGAAGCTGGTCTTAACAAGTAAGTTCATATACGCTAATCATCTAAAAATGCCTTGCTTGCAAAACGCACTCGACCCCTGATTTCACAACATATTTGAATATATGCTTAGTTTAATGCATGTGAATAGTCCTGCAACAATCAATACAATTATTTACTTAAGTGCTTAAAGCCAGGCAGGTATTTAAGAACTAGTATTGTTTGTGGTAATGCCACTGCAAGCCAGTCAGAGACCAGGACCTCACTGTTTGCACAGCACCCTGCACACAAAAAGACACTCCTTGTCCCTTTCAGTATAAGTAATTTTTGTAAGTTGTGAATTGGTGCCAGAAACACCTTTCTTGAGCTGGTGGGTAAACATCATTTGTCTACTGTAATATCCCTTTTATTTACTGAAAACATTGTATGCAATATTTCAAAAAGTAGATAAGGGCACAGTGGGAAAAGGCTGCAAAAGGGAAGATAAAGGATATTTTTCAATTAGGAATTATAAAGATTTTCATCATTGTTAGTATCCAGCAAAATACCTGTAGAATTTAAAAGCCATTTGGAAAGGAAAGGGAACAAAATGGTTTCTGCCCCATAGATGAGACTGCAGGCTGGGGTGCACAGGTCAGATAGCTGCATAAAGTACCAGGCTGCAAGACAAGAGAGAGTAGGAGCAAGTTCTAGGAGTTGGCTCAATAAAAGTCTCCATTTTATCAAGCTGGGTCATCATCAGACTTGTAATGCCAGGGATTTCTCAGTGGTGGAATTTTTTATCGTCAAAGACCAAGGAAGGTTTGGAGAGGGGGTTTGCCTGACTTGCTGCCTTCTGCTTATTCCCATGTACCATAAACTTACAGAATAAAGGGAAACTGCATACCCACCAAACGGAAATGCTCTCAGTCTTCTGCCTGGGTGACAGTCTCCTGGACAGATTGAGGAGCTCATGGTCCTCCTTGGGCACCCCAGAAGACTGGAGCAGCCAGCACATACCTTGTCCTTAGGGCACATGGGGAACCACCTTCTTTCAGAGCTTGGGATCCACAGAGCGTATTCCATAGTGTGGGAGAGCCTACAGCTACACCTCAGCCTCTCCTCAGAGGAAGCAAGAAGCTGGATCCTGTAGTTTAGTCACTATGGAAAATGTATTTCTTTTGAGGATATATTTCCAGTTTCTTCTGTCCACCTCATTGTCAAAATGAACAGTTACATCAGTACAAACAACTGGTTCCATTTCTAAAACCAAGAAATGAGCCAGTATTTAACTTCAGCTTCCCCTCTGACCAGTAAGACATGATGCCACCCTCTGGCGCAAGCCAGGGTGAGAAGCCCTCAAAAAGGGTATGGAGGATTTATTGGGGTACAGAATATGGTTAACCCCAAGCACAGAAATACCCAGAGTCAGACCCTGAGTGTCATGAAATTGCTTTACAAAGTGTAAAATCTTAAAAGCAATGCAGTTTGGGCTCTTACTAATTGTTCTCCGGCCCTTGGGTTCATGTTTTCAATTTCTCTTTGCAACCACAATGCTGAGTAACTTACTTGTCTTCTAAAATTAAAACTGAGAATCTCACATTTTCATGTTTTCACATGATGCCAGAGCTCAGGCTTTGTGGGGAAAAGAAACACCACACCAAATCCAAAACACCCCAACCCTCACATTTTAGAAGACTTTCAACAAAATTGCGAAAGTTGGCAACCATAAAATTTCCTAACACATTATTTTGTGGACTGCAGTGAAGTTTCATTCTCCAGACTAATGGTGGCTTCCTCTCTGGTAAATGCCCAGAATTGCTGCTGCTGTTATTGTTAGAACATCATTAATTTATGCAGTGCTTTAAAAACAGAGGAGAGGTACTCTGTCCTCAAGCAATTAGAGGATAAATAACACAAGCCAGAAACTATTTTGAGTTTCTTTGGTGTATGGCTGAACAGAATTACTTAAAAAGGAGCCATCTCATGCTCAATCCTGCAAGGTACTAAAGGGTCTGATTCTGGAAAGACTTTAAAGATCGATTAATTTTAATATTGGCAGACTGACCTCAGTGTAATAAAGCGCTTAATATGGTACCAGCTATTTAAGAGGAGTGCTATTTGAAGGGACTTAATTGTGCTATACTTGGTGGCACTTTTGATGCCAAAAGGTTCAGCACCTTGTAGGATGGATTCTTCAAGTGATGACAAGAGCTACATCAGGATCCCACCTCACACTCAGAACCAGAGCCATCCATTTTAAGATGATTCTTGTTATTTCTAAGAACAACTTGTTTGCAAAGTTGCAGGCCCCAACATTGAACAATTTTTTAGTTGGGTCTTTAGTACTGATGATAAACCAATATGTGTTGTTTAGCCTATTTCATCAAAATTCAGAACATTTGTAACTGATAAACAAAGTGCATGTTAGCTATTAAAGCTCAAAATTAGGCAGGCAGTAAAAAGTAATCTGAGAGGAGGGCTGTAGCTACTGATACTATTGAAGCTGGTCTTAAAACATATGGTTTCCAATCGTTGACACAATGCACAAAAATAAAACCCTGCAACCGAGGAGTGCCTGATCTTTTCACCACTAAATGATCAAATATGCCTGTTTGTTTTTTAGTTTTATGTCCCCTTCCTCTTTCTGGTTTTTAGAACTAGGAGCTTGCTATTTTATATTTAGTGAAGATTTGGCCCTTTGTACTGACTACAGACGGGCTTCATTAATCAATTTCCATCACTGGCTTGAAATGAAAAAAAAAAAAGAAACCAAATTTTTTTACTTTTTCTTTCTTTTAAAATACCCTCCTGCTATTTTGCTTGGAAGTTCTCCTGTAGAAACAACAGATCCCTCTACTCCATCCTTCCTGTTTCATTGTGCTTTAGCATTAAAAACCATTTGTACTATGAAGACAAGAAAATTTCACAAAAAGACATCCAATGACAAAAAAATGTATGATTTGTTGCAGGTTGGACGCTGTCACTCTTCACTACAGCCAGCCATCTCTAAAAACAGGAATAAAACCAATTTCACCTGCGAGCACAACTGCGTAACAGTTTGCATGGAAAGGTATTGAAATGGAAAGTAAGTTCTGTGGCCGCTTTCCTTTTTTTTCCCCATGAGTTTTTCCTTAGAGCTCTTTTAATGACATAATGGGAGAGCAAAATTCTTGTGTCGTGCTTTTTAGCTTGGGATAGAGCTTTATATGCAAATACACACTTCCCGCTGACTCACTTTGGCACTTGGAATTCTGAGCCCTGTTCTGAATATGGGAAATGGCCATGGCTCTGCTGGTGGAAGGAGTGATGGTCTGTGGGAGAGATTTAAAAGCCTGACCTAAGACAGAACTAGGGCAATATTTTAAAGTTAAGGTTTGATATGTTATTTCAATTACCAGTAATAAAAAAAAATCACTAGGAAGAATTTGGACATTGATCCATTTGGAGAGGAGGTACACAATTGTGGGTTTTCTTATACTAGAGCAGACTTAGGAAATGGCCAGTTT